GCGATTGGCTGGCCGATAATCAGCGACATCCAGACGGCGGCGTTGCCATAGTTTCCCCTCAAGAATCGGCCCACAAAATAGGCGAGTGGGATCTGAAACAGAAGGAGAATGTGAAATGAGGAATTTTATTTGATGTTTAACAAGCAATATTGAATATTTAAGACTGACCTGTGCCATCATTCCCAGAAATGCCCAGAGGCGAAACATCTTTAGAGGAACACTCACTAAATACTGGCAAGAATGACACAAAACATTGTCAGGACAATTAAAGCCACAGGAGAATAGTGTAACATCACTGTAAATTGTAATGTAGTGAGCAAAGAAACCTCATGGAAAAACGCCGACATGAAGAATACTGCGATCTGAGCTGCTAACTTATTTACTCCTTTCACCAGCATTGGCTTATAAAAGTGTCTGAAGGGAAACAGAGAATGAGAAATCAATGAACAAACTACAGTAAGACATGAACAGACAACACAAACTTATCTCAGAACTGATTTCTGTCGTAATTTGAACACAAGCTCAAGACTGCTGCAAGAAAACCACCTCTGGCGCACAAATAACAGACAAATCCAATCACATAAGCTGATAAACTCGGCTTACCGTAGGCACCACTTGTGAACAGGAATGTTCCAGTTCGACCAAAAATACGGAATTGTTTCAGAGTTCCTGCGCATATAAAGATCATCAGTTAAACGCAAAACTACACAGTGTGAAAACTGTGTCATGAAATGGCATCTGCATGCTATTTTACTTCTGCAATGTGATGCATTCAGTGCAAAAAAAAATAAAAAAAAATACCATGAATCATGCGCACATGTGTTTTTAAAAGACTTTATTTTATGAATTTTGGGCATTATTTTTGATATTGGTCTGGAAATAATAACACAACAGTGACTCCAAAAGTAATGCAAGGTCCATTCATTCTAACGATAACTATAACAATAACTATATTAGTGTCCACATCAACAGACAATAATGTTCTGTTTATTACAATTGTGCAGTTTTGTTGTCTGCCGCTTTAAATGCTCTTTAAATTTGGATGGATTCTGATTGGTTATCAATGTTTTTATCTTTCATTTCAAGTGGAAATAAATCACTCTGAAAGTGATTGCAACTAATGGAGCCCGTTTCTCCCACAGAAAAAAAAACAATAAAACTTTGTTTCTCACAATTCTGAGGGAAAAAATTGAAACTCGCAGTTTCAAGTTAACTACATTAAAAAAAGTCAGAATTGTGAGATCGCAATTACCTTTTTAACTGTTTTATTTTGTGACGTAAACAGACTTCTAATTATATCATTCCTCTGTGTTGTTTTTGTTATAGCTGTGTTGTGGATTTCGCTATTCTCTTATGAGTTAAAGGGGTCATATGATATGATCATTCTGACTCACAGCCTGTAAGTACGTTTTCATATTTAAAGGGGT